TTTTTCGTACTTTCTTAACGCTCATTAAAAGGAATGACGCCAATTTTGTATCACCCTGTATATTGAATTCCCAGTATAACATACAGTATCCACAAGTTCAAAGAATAACTCACATCAAAGAAAGTATACCGAATTCTGAACACAATTCGTCACACCCAATAACATCCCAATATTCCATTCAGCACAACTTACGTGATTTCTGATCAGAAACAGTGTCAATAAACAAGCACATACATTCTCTAAATCTGAATCAACAGTCCCATAAAACCTATAGGTCGAAAAAAACAACACAACATCTCAAAATACAAGAAAAAAAACTTCAAAAGGTTGCAAAAACTCGACTTACGGGAACTATAAGTCGGTACAAAAATCTAGTTGGTACATCAAAAATGCTCTACTAATGTGTGCTTACCTAAAACAATTAGGTCGAATTCAAATTAAAAAAAGAACTTTTACTTATTTAGGTACGGTTGTTTTACATAAACACACAACTGTGTTACACACAGAACATTGTCTCGTTCACAACACAAACTATTCTACATCAGAAAATTAGGGCATTAATATGGGGTGATCAAGGGCAATTAAAGAGTGGAAAAACATATTGAAATATTACTTCTACGATAGGAAGAAGTCCTCAAATATCATCAAATAATGCACTTTCACACTAGATCAGTCGAAGTTATTCTTCTTATCGTAGAAGTTAATATTTCTGCAATAAACACGATCGACATTAGAAACCACAACGTCACCTACCTCCTCTGGGTACGCGTGCAGTCAGTGTCCCACTATTTTGGTCATTGAAAACGGTTTCTATGTCCGAAGCTAAGTCTTTGCTGACGCTCCTACGCCAAGGTACGTTGAAAGAGCTATTGGACTGTGTGGTTGAAACTGATGGACGTCCAAAGGTTCTGCTTAATGAGGAGTGTCTGAAACACAAGATTTATACTTTATTTAATATAAGAAAGTCTTTTAAGTAAATAAAATTGAAATATTCTTTAGAACTACTATAAACTATCCGCGAGTATAATTTTATCATGAATCTGATGGAGTTTATCCTTGATCATTTAATAATATAACGTAAAAAGCTCTACAGAATGTTCGTTGTTGTCATGGTTAAAATTGAAAATTATCAACTCCAATTTGTACTTAATGGCATTGTTTGCGAAACACACTAAAGGATAAATGTGTCCAAGAATGTACAGTCCTTGTATTCTTATGTATTCAAACATACTTTGATGTTGAACAAAATTAAACGTGAAAATCAGACAGACCGATGGAAAAATCAAGTTTCATCATACATATTTTTATGGAACTAAAAATCAAAGTGAGATAGAAATTATTCTAATTTACAAAACCTGTAAATTTACAGACAAGACCTACCGACAGTTCTACTGGATTAACTACGACTCACTTACGTAGCTTGTTCTAATCGTCTTCGGTATATAATCTTGCCATGGGTGCTTGTAACATGAAGTACATTTTGTTCAATACATTTATTGATGTAACATCATATGCTTTTGATATATGCATTTACCTTGTGAGAGGATTGTCCATTCGATTCCAGAAGTTGGTGCCATGATCAAAATGACTTAGCAATCGAGAACTAGGAAAACCGGGTCGTACGCCGTCCTCAACATTTAACCTTTGGGTT